CGATTCAAGGAACTGCCGTGGTATTGCCGTTAATATCTAACAAAGTTGAATTTTGCCGTTTCACTGGGTTAAAGGAATCAGTACTACAAGGGGCAGACCAAAATATAGAGGCGAAGTTCTTATTTGATCGATTTGCGCTAAGAGATGGTTTTGAGAGGCATCGAGGGGTAAAACTTCACCAATTTCTACCAAAAATCATGAAACAACACCTAATATCACCACTTCATCTCATATAAGTCGCTAATTAAACATTATTGAGAAGAAAGAGAGGTCCCTTAGTTACTTACCTTAACAACCCAAGAAAAGGAGCAACTTTGCACCTTAATCCTCCAAACCACTCCACAACCAAGCTTAACTTCACTAAACTAGAGGTTTTATGGAGAAATTTGAAGATTAAACGGTTTAATTGAGAGATTGGGCAAGATTAGAGGTAAGATGGTAGAGAGTTTTCTTTTCTTTTTTGCTTGGAGAGAGCCGGCCAAGAAGAGGAAGAAAATGGTGAATTTTTGGTCAATTATGGTATTAATTTGGTAAAGTAATGAATAGTGGTCAAAAATGCAAGATTTAATCATATGGTGACACTTGTCACCCTATTTAATGCATGCATATCCCTTTGTTTCCTCAACTCTCATCCATATGGTATCCTCTAATTATCTCTTCGCACCTAGTAAATTAAACCCTGTATACAAAACTTAACCCAATTGGCCGAATTTTATCGAATTTTTCCGCACTAGCGGGTCTCACGTCCGATATACGTTCTTAATTTCGCAAAAACTAACCGATACTAGAAAAATCATCTAAAACTATATTTACTCATAAAATTTATCCGGAACATTTTCCTAATAAAGAAAATGCAGAAAAACATGCCATTAAATAGATAAAACCTAGAAAATGAGAAAATTTACAGGTTCTCACACTTTTGGTGACTTATGATGTAAGATTTGAATGTCCCATTAAGGAAGCGACTTTTCTTCATTTCGACTTTTATTATTTTGTTGTTATTCTTTAAGTTTGAATTGGACGTATCGAGTCCTGGTGAGAGTTAGGCAGGCATCCGCCGATATCCTTTGGTTCGCCTTAGGGCGAAGTGGGGCGTCACACAAATGACTTGAATATGGAAGATATCATGAATTAGTGAAGCTGGTATAAATTTCCAGCTTGGGTGCATAAATTTCAGTTTAGGGTTTCATTTTCTAACTTGAGTAGGTAATGGTTATATGCTTGATTTAGTGAGTTATTGGCTTGGTATGTATATGCTTGAGTTGAGGCTGTTTTGTGGTAAGAATGAAGCCTTGAATTGGTGGAAAAGTAGTAAACAAAAAGGAGGTGCTGCTGAAATTTTCTGCAGGAACCTTGAGCAGTCTTGGAAAATCTGTTATATCTTGATGTAGAAAACTAGTATTGAGTTCTGTTTATTGCATTTGAAACTAGATTCAGAGTACTTTATACCGTGTAAATTTCATAATTTTCTCAATTCCTATGAATATCTATGAATTTTCAAAGTTGACTGAAATTACATACCTGTTCTGTCTTTTATTGGATGAAGCAGCAATTTGAGGCTCGGATTTGACTGACTTATGGACTGAATCAGCTTTTGGACAAAGCATGAAAGCTATTGGGATTTGAGTTAACTTTCTATCTCCAAAATTTTTAGATCAATTGGATCATTTTAGCTTATGATTTGGTCAGAACACTCCTGACTATGTAAAAACTCTCATTTTCCTGACCTATTTTTCATGTGTTTCTGACTGTCCATTTTTTTACTAAAAAAAATGGGAGATCTTGGTCATGATGTCTTCATAGGAAATGTAGGTCTATGTCTTAGCTTTGAAATGCCATAAAATTTGCCTCAATCCGATAACTGTAGCTTCAGTTGTGATCAAAACACCAAAGGATGGCAAAGCTACCATCTTCATTGTTTTTCGTTACCTTTCTTTTGTTTTCCGTTTCCTTGGTCCGACTTAACATGTACTTCTCAAGTGTTCTAAAACTGATTTCTAACATTCTAAAGAAGTATTCAAAACATGATTTTAGTTGCACATATTGGCTTTGAACTTAACCATTTTTTATCATTTTCTTTTACAAATCACGCGTGCATCTTGCCTATATGACTTACTATACTTTTCATGCCTTTTTCTTTTGATATAGAAATATAAGTTATGCAGCTTGCACTCATGTATGATTGGCTCTTTCATAGCATCATAGTACGTGACCACGTCTACAATGGCTCGAGTGATCAAGCGGGTGAGGATCGCATGCAAGCTCCAAGTGGATCCATTACTAGAGCTCGAGCAAAGAGACTTCGTGAGCAACTCAGTGTACTTATTCAGGCCATACACAAGTCCTTTGAAGGATTCGTACACTCAAGTGAAGGTGATGCGGTCCGGTATTGAGCATTGAAGCTACACCTGAGTATTAGGGTCTTATCAAACCCTAGTTAGTGAGATTCGCATTATAGTCATTTAATTCCACATTAGTTGATTAGATTGAATAATTGGCTAAGTGCATGTTGCACATAGAAATGCCAAGGGAAGATTACTTTTTAGTCATCATTATTTGTTAAGGTGAGCTGCCTTGGAGGGAAAGCCCACATGAGGCCCGATCCATCGAGGGCCCATATTAGCACACCTTTAGTTCCTTTTCCTTACTAGTTTAGGGTTTACTTGTAGCCTATAAAGGCACCCCATTACTCCCACAAAGGTACACACTTTTATGATAAAAATATTGAGAGAGTTTTCTCCATAGCTTTCGAGCAAACCTTGAACAACTTAGAGTTATACTCTAGTGTTCTTGTTCGGCTTATCAATTCAAGAATCGCACTTGAATTGTGGCGCCTTCTACACTTGCCTGAGGTTCACTAATTCGTTTGATTACGGGTTGAGATAGTATCAACAAGTTCGTAGTCACGGGGATTAGAGGGGTCGTAGGGTTTCCGCTGCCACCGTTTCTTGCATCCGACGTCAAATCCAACAAGCGATCTTGGTCGCGAATCTTCTCACCAACGAGATTCGTATCAGCTGGCATCAGAGCTAGCTTGGTAACATCGTTATCCCTCTTTTCGTGCCTTAATTCGTATCTGTCTCGGTAGCTCAAAAAAAAAATTTTTTTGTGCACGTTGCATTCTGGCGCGAGTTCCTGCCGCGAGTTTCCTTTGTTTTCGAGTCTGGTCATCATTGTTTGTTTCTGTCTTGTTGTCGTCTTCAATTTCCTGGAATTTCTGGAAGTCAAGTGTGTTTGTGTTTGGTTTGGTGGTGTGGATTCCAGCAGTCGCTAAAATAAAAAAAAAAAGAAACAAACCCACACCGCTAGTGTTCTTATTGTCGCTTCCGTATTGCTGTGTCCAGTTGAACCTTGTGCAATCTGTGCCTTGTTATTGCCAATTACTGCTGACTCTCGGGTGGATAAATCTGGTCATGTCTTGCTGATTGTTTTCTCCACCGCTTGGGACCAGCAAATTGAAGAATCAAGGTGCTAGTAACATCGAGTCATAGGAGTTCGGTCCGTGCCGCACTTGCTTTGGCAAGTCTGTCCGAATTGTCCCCTGATTGTTGTGCTTGTCCATTGCCCAGTTTTTTGTCTATTGCTTTTTGTGATTAAGTCCCAAACCTGAGTCAAAAAAAAAACAAAGGGGGGCAAGAAAAATTCTGGTCGGTGTTCCTTCCAAGTCCCAAACCTTGTCGAATTGTGGTTGGTTCTAAAGCTGTTCTTGGTCCGTGTCTTAGTTATTTATTTTCTAGGAGAATATTGGTACCTTGTTCTTGAATTTCGTAAGCAAAACTTCACGGTTTCTTGGAGCTCTTGAAAAGGTTCTTGATCCTTTGAAATCTGGAAATTTGCAGCGATATTCTTGAAGCTATTTGCTGGAAATTTTTGTGTTTGGTTTACAACTCTTGATTGTTAAAGGTTGGTCTATACCTGGTGCTGAACCTTGACCCGTTTGGGAACCAAAACCTAGCCTATCTGATTACCAAAAAAAAAAAAACAGAGACCATCAAACAGGCCGCACTTAAACTCAGCCAGACCTGGGAAAATTCTGGGTAGCCTAGACCAGTGTTCATTCGAAGCTGCTGCTGTACAAAAAAAAAAAAAAAAAAACACAGCAAGCACATTCGAAACAAGAGTGTCTTGCATGCTTTTATTGAATTGGGAAACCCATTCGGCTGAACAACTAGAAAAAAAAATAAAGAAACAGCCGCTACAAGGGTTCTACACCAACCAGCTTCTAAAACCGAAGGGGCTACCAACGTCATCCTATTTCCTAATTTATAGCCACCGCTTGCCCATACTTATCCCCAGTCTTGGTACCCTTTCCAAGCACTTGGGAAAGGATCCAGTCGGCTGAACTTCAAAAAAAAAAAAAACCAAAAGGGACCGACAAGACCAAGTGGCCCTCCAACTCACTTGTCTTCTATTTGGTAGCCGGTCCTTCCCTGGAGTTACTCCTAAGGTGTGTACACCTCTGCAACAAAAAAAAACCAGCACCTTGAGTCAGCTAGAACAAGAGTAAACATTCCACGAAAATCCAGCAAAGCAAAAGGACCAATTTCCTTGTCGGTTAGAGCATTGAGCATCGTTCGTAATTTTTTGTAGCTTTTGTGTCCATTCTTTTTCTCATTTTTACTCTTGAATATATTCTACCACTCCATTCCTAGTGTCCTAATTTTGTTTTCCAAGAAAATCTCTACTCTTACGAATCTCAAATTCTAGCGTGAACTTGATTTTTAAGCTAAATTTGAGCACTTGAGGAGTTCTACTTTCTTCAAGGTTTTGCAAGGGGCTGTGAGAAAATATTTTGGTAAGCTTATTAGAGTGATCTGAGTGACCATACACGAGTGTGAGCGTATACACTTAGGGAGTGAAGTGAAAAAAAAAACAAAAAAAAAAAAAGTTACTTTTTCCCCTATTTCCTTTTCTTTGCTATTAACCCTTGCAGGTACACTTGAGACTCCATGTCTAGTGGAAACGAAGGAGTATCCCGTCCCATGAACTTTGAACAGATGATGGAGCAAATGGAGAGGCGTTTCCAACGCATGCTAGAACCCATTCAAGATGAGTTGCTGCAACTCCGAGCGTCTGGAACACCAAAAACCTCTAAGTCCATGCGAAGGCGAAGGGACGTGGAGGAGTCGTCCGATGGTTCCAATAATGATGATGATGATGAGGAACCTCGAATTCGACCAAGGCAAAGGAACCAGACTGGACCTACCGATGTATTCAAGGGAATCAAGATGCAAATCCCTGAGTTCAAAGGACGGTCCGATCCCGAGGCCTTTCTCGAATGGTTATCCAAGATCGAAATGGTCTTTTCTTGCCAAAACTACACCGAGGTGCAAAAGGTGCAATTGGCCACCATGGAATTCACTGAGTACGCTGTGGTTTGGTGGGACCAAATCAAGAAGTCTAGAAGGAGGAATGGGCTACCTGAGCTCATTCCATGGCCCGAGCTTCGAGCCATGATGCGCACCCGCTTTGTACCTGGACATTACACTAGGGATTTGTACCACCGGTTACAAACCTTAGTCCAGGGCAACCGGAGTGTGGATGAGTACCACAAGGAGATGGAGATCCTGATGCTTAGAGCGGATGTACAGGAGGATCCTGAAGCCACCATGGCGAGATTCTTGAGCGGGTTACGACCCGATATTGCTGAACGAGTGGAACTTCAACATTATATGGAGTTGCATGAGCTTGTAGACAAGGCTATTAAGGTCGAGCAAAGGCTCAAGAGGAGGGGTACCACTCGATCGAATTTCGGCAATACCACCTACTCTACTACCAACGCCCATTCCAACCAAGGAATGATTCTCGGCCTTCACCAAATGCTCCTACACCAAAGCCGAGATTCGAGGGAGGTAAGGTGGGCAACCCTAGTATTAGTAAGCCGCCCTCTTCTACTCCAAAATTTGAGGAGCCTAGGGTACAAACTAGAGCTCGTGATACTCGATGCTTCAAATGCCAAGGTAGAGGCCATATTGCTAGTCAATGTCCCAATCAAAGGACTATGATTATGATGCAAAATGGTGAGATCGTGAGTGAGGACGAAGCCGAGTACGACGGCATACCACCTCTTGACGGAGGTAGTGATGGGGAATCGCCAAATGAAGAGGAGTTTAGTGCACCCGAGGGTCATTTTGGGACTGCATTGGTTGCAAGGAGAGCATTAACTGCACGTGTTAAGGAGGAGCTTCAACGGGAGAACATTTTCTACACCAGGTGCTTCGTCAACCAAGCACTTTGTAGTGTGATTATTGATAGTGGGAGCTGCACAAATGTTGCTAGTTCACTCATGGTGGACAACTTGAAGTTGCCTACAAGGGATCACCCGCGACCCTACAAACTCCAATGGCTCAACAACTCTGGGGAGGTTCGAGTAACCAAGCAGGTTCTTATATCCTTCCAAATCCATAAATATTCTGATGAAGTATTATGTGATGTAGTTCCTATGCAGGCTAGTCACATTATACTAGGTAGGCCTTGGCAGTTTGACAGACAGGTGACTTTTGATGGTGTGACTAATAAGTATAGCTTCTTGTACAACAGTAAGAAAGTCACACTAGCTCCCCTTTCCCCCAAACAAGTGCATGAGGACCAATTGAAATTGCAACAAGAGTTTGAGAAGTATAGTGCAAAAAGGAAAGAAAATGAGAGAGCCGAGGCAAAAAAGGAGAGGAAAAAGGCTATAGATAGCTCGGCAAGTGAGGTAAAAATCGAGGGAAAACAAATGCTCCTGATAAAAGCCAAGAAAGTGAGGAAGTTAATGAGAGATGAGCAGCCACTTCTTATGCTTGTTAGCAAGGAAGTAGCTCTGAATGTGCATGAACTTGATACTGATATACCTCTCGAGGTTAAGTCTCTTTTACAGGAGTACGCTGATGTCTTCCCGAGGACGTCCCAAGTGGATTGCCACCACTTAGGGGCATTGAACATCAAATTGACTTCATCCCTGGAGCTTCATTGCCAAATCGCCCAGCTTACAAGAGCAACCCGGAGGAGACTAAGGAGTTGCAAAGGCAAGTGGACGAGTTGCTAGGCAAAGGATGGGCACGTGAGAGTTTAAGCCCGTGTGCTGTTCCAGTCATTCTGGTGCCCAAGAAAGATGGTACGTGAGAATGTGCACCGATTGTAGAGCCGTAAATGCCATCACGGTAAAGTATCGCCACCCTATACCTCGCTTAGATGACATGCTTGATGAGTTACATGGGGCTGTGTTCTTTACCAAAATTGATCTCAAAAGTGGGTACCATCAAATTAGGATTAAGGAGGGGGATGAATGGAAAACTGCCTTCAAGACTAAGTATGGATTGTATGAGTGGTTAGTAATGCCTTTTGGGCTAACTAATGCACCTAGTACCTTTATGAGGTTAATGAATCATGTTCTGCGTCCATTCTTAGGAAAATTTGTGGTAGTTTACTTTGATGATATCTTAATTTATAGCAAGTCTTATGATGAGCATCTAGAGCATATTAGGGCTGTTATGGATGTACTTCGAAGATAGAAGCTCTATGCCAATCTCAAAAGTGCAATTTTTGCACTAACGAGCTTGTGTTCCTAGGGTTTGTTATAAGTGCGCAGGGAATGAAGGTGGATGATCAAAAGTGCAAGCTATTCAAGAGTGGCCGACACCACGGTCCGTGGGTGATGTTCGAAGCTTCCATGGACTTGCGGGTTTCTATAGGAGATTCGTGAGGGACTTTAGCACTATTGCTGCACCCTTGACCGAGTTGATCAAGAAGAGTGAGAACTTCCATTGGGGAGATTCTCAAGAACAAGCCTTTCGCACTTTAAAGCACAAACTCACACATGCACCTGTAGTTGCTTTACCTGACTTTTCTAAGACATTTGAAATTGATTGTGATGCTTCAGGTATTGGAGTTGGAGTGTGTTGAACCAAGGAGGAAGACCTATTGCCTACTTTAGTGAGAAACTCAATGGGGCTGCACTAAACTACTCAACTTATGATAAAGAATTGTACGCCCTCATTCAAGCACTACAAGTGTGGCAACACTACTTAAGGCCTAAGGAGTTCGTGATACACACCGATCATGAGTCCCTTAAGTACCTTAAGGCCCAACACACCTTGAGCAAGAAGCATGCAAGATGGATTGCATCATGATTTTTGAAACATGTTTTCATCTTCCCTGTGACAGGAGGACAGGACTGGTGGGTAGGTTTCTAAAAATGAAAGGAAATAGTCTCTTCTTACTCGTCTGTGCCATACACAAAAGCAAAGAATCACCACAAACTTTCTTTCTCTATTTTGTATCTTTATAAAAATTTAATAGGTATAATAAACCCAAGAGTCATAGATTTTATTCAAGGTAAAATCTGCTTGAAAATGTTAATTCTTTAATGAAACTGAGTTTGATTCATGTCAAAGATTTGTTTATTGTGTTAATATGATGATTTTAATGTAATTATGAATGAAATTTTTACATGGTTGCAAAAAAAATAAAAAAAAAATAAAGAGGAACATAGTCACCTAGAGAATGAGTTACTGTTCATAGTTGATTAGGTGAATACCAAAAATGCGCCGTATATATCGTATGTGCGCATATGCTTCAAATTAAATGCCTTGTGAATTGACGGATTTATTCGACGGAATAGTCAAAATGAAGCATTAAAGAAGTTCAGTGGATTAATCTACACTAAAACAAATAAAGTGTACAAAATAAGATTTTAGAAAAGTTTAGTAACCATGGTGCATTTCAGTTCTTTTAATTTACTATAGAATCAACGTTTGACTCTTTTTTGGCCCAGTACACGGAAATTTCCAAGTCATATGGCGGTAAGAGAAAAATCGAAGGGTCTAAAAGTCGAATACTGACCAAACAATTGTCCCATCAATGTTTTACAAGTTGAGTTTAGTTTCGGTGATTAATGCCTCTTTGTCTTTCCAGTCTGGCCCCTCCCTTATCCGGTAGCCACTTTTATTTTCGGTGACTAATGTCTCTACCACTAAGTGGTGAGACAGCTCGACTCAAATGCTCTCTGAAAGATTCTCCACTAGTCAGTTTCCCATTTGCGGACATCTTCTAGCAGCTATATAGCACTGGCATGTCATCATGGCGTCAATCCCTTTAACAATTGTGAATGGCATTTATTTATTGGCAAGTTAAAAGTTAGGGATAATTTCAGAAACCTCCATTGACGTTTCTCATAAACCATAGCATCAATCCCTTCTACAATTGTGAATGGCATTTATTTATTGGCAAGTTAAAAGTTAGGGATAATTTCAGAAATCTCCATTGACGTTTCTCATAATATTATTTAGCACACCTTAAGTTTTTAAAATCTCATCCATCTCTCTTGGATTGACATTTTTGTAGCATTTTAGCCCCTAATGAGGCAATGCAAAAAAAAAAATGAGGCAATGCAAGAAAGATAAAATTTTTGTTCCAATACTACCCTTATGTTATCCCACTTTTGAAGCTTACAACAACAATTAAAAATAAAATAACATTAAAAAGTAAAAGATGAAAATATAAGACGTTATAAATGCAATAATGAATAATATTTTAGATATACAATAGCTATTACCTAGTATAACAAATGATGTTTTAACAAAAAAAAAGTGATATTCTTAGATATATCTGGTTATTATATCATTTTTTATTAATTTTTTAAATTCTAACTTATTTATAAAAAAATTTTTCTACAAGTAGAATTTATAATACAAGCCACACATATGAATAGATTATTTTATTTTTAGTACAACTTAAAATTATATCATGTATTAAAATATATTTCCTAAGAGAATTTCTCCACTTCTTCATAATTGTCCAACAAAATTTTTCAATATGCTGATTACTTATTAAAATCCATTTAACTGCTTGACTTTGACTAAATTTAACTTATTCATGTTCTTTGATGTCCCACAACTACCTTGATACAAAAAAATATGGATCAATATTGAATAGCAATTTGGTTATTTTTTATCTACATTTTTTAGTTTGAAAATGTTTTTTTTTTTTTGCTTTGGATTATTGGTTAAATAGTTCTGAAGAATGCAATGGTAATCTTGTTAAGTTTTGACCTTTGATAGAGGCATTTGATCTTGTCATGTTGACAAAGGAAGAAAGTGGGATTTTAAAAAGTTCAGGGAGTCTGAGTGATATTATGGGAAGTCTCAAGGGATATTTCCAGAATTATCCCTGAAAGTTAAACCCCCAAGTAAGTTTGAAAAAATTCCAAATGTGATGGGACTTTTGATTAAGATTTGGGGCGTGTTTTTTCTTTTGGACAAACATGTCCCTTTAATTGTTCGTGTCACCCTTTTAGTCGGTTATATATGGTTGGAGGTGGTTAAAACTCAATTCTGCGGGAAAAGAAAGATTAGGGTACTTGGGGTTTTTCGTCTAGAAACCGTCATATCCACCTAAACCAGAAGCGAAGTCAATAGCTTTGACATTTAACGTCGTTTACCGGATTAGAAACTTTACTATGTTTAGAATAAGATTTAAAGAAACGATGACTAAACGAATCATATTTTAGCTGAGCGATGGTTGGAAAACCTTAAACAAATTTATAGTAATTGCTGATTAGTATCATTTTAAAATAATGCAAACTACAAGTTAAAAATGCAAAAGTTACATTTATGAAATGAAAAATACAAGAATAATATGTTTAATTTTATGACACTGCTTCTTACCAAAGATAATGGTTTATGCAAATGTAAAGGGTTGAATCTAGTTAAGTGATAAAAGTGAAGAAAAAGATGTCCACTTTATGATTATTCCTTATTTTTTCTTCTCTTCTGCAGATAAAATTATGATGCTTCACTTTATATTAGAAATTCTGTATAATTAAACAGCTTTATCTTCTTTCAATTTAGAGGGAAAATGTTATTCAACCTTAGCTGAAGCCAATCAATATTCCGCAACGCATTTGGCACACCATTCTTTGCACCAAACACAAAATTCTCAAGAATGACTTCCCGAATGTAGGCTAAGATTTAGGAAATCAATCTCATAATAAATTTTACCGCAACTAACTTAGGTCGGTGATCAAACCGACCTTTTGATTCTCTGTCGATATTACTATTCCCACTAGTCCAATCTGATTCGAGTCAAAGACAAAAGAGAAACTAAAAGAAAGTATTTTTTCTTACTACTTTGATTGTTGTCTATTTCTATATTTTCCTTCTCTTATCTTTTAATTTTGTCTAGCCTTTTTTTTTTTAATTCTTGATTGAGTCATTCAATAGTCAATCAAAATGGAGCCTCTTTTTTTTTTTGTTTTGAAAGCATCAAAATGGAGCCTTAAATTAGTTCTTGATCGAAACACTTCCCTGTTTTGTATTATCCTTTTGTTGCGTGCTGGTAGATGGTGCTGAACTCAAAATGTCTAAAACCTTGAGACACACAATTAAAAACATATATTAAAAAAATAAAAATTAGTAAACATAAAATTAATTATAGAGAATTAATCTAGTGATTGTTCCGAAGCACTCATTAAAACATCTAAATCACACTTTATTTATCATGTGAATATATATACTCACATTTATTACCTACCTACATTTAGGTACTTTAACTAAATTAGTCCCGGTCTTGTAAAAAAATTAACAACTAAAATTATCTTAATGAGAGTACCTTGTTGGCCAAACCAAATAAAGTAATCCGATGAGACACACTTAGCGGGCAAAATGCAATAACTACGCCTCTTTTTCAGCCTAAAAGTTATGCATTTAAGCTATAATAATGGTACGCTTTTGAAGTAATCCAAGGAAATCAAGATACACGACTGGCATTGATGTCAATTTGTGATGCTGATACTTCAAGTTGTATAATTGCTTTTGTCTTTGTCGTTGTGGCCTACTAAACATTTGTTGATTCAGCCAGTTTGCTGACTTCATGATACTCCCCATCCGAAGGATTAGATTTAGAAGGGGAAAAGAAAATAAACAAAAAAGAAAGTGACAACACATCTCTTCTGTCATCCAGCCATTAGTGGTTATTAATGTCTTGTGATGATGGGTTACAAATTATTTGTATTATCTATGTTGACCAATCCGCAAAAATTGGACCAGCGCAGCCTCCCAAGCTAGTCTTCCTGCAAGAGACAGCCGCCAAGCTTGTTGCAGCTAAACGAACTTGCTCTATCATTG